TATTAATGTCCGCATATGCTTATTAATATCCGCATCTGATATGTCTATCTATTTATATGGTACTTTAATCTATATCCTAACAGGCTATATTCTCTCGGGAATAAGTGATCCCCCTCTCCCAAATGGTATCGCCTACGACCTCGTTGCTCAGTGAAAAGTTAGCCAGGCAAATGGCTGGTTTGCAGCCTCAACATTTTCACCCCCAAAATCACAAAATATGATTACACGGCTATAATACACGTTTTTACAGCCAGACAAACACACTTACACATCCACTAATAGACGCGCACACGCGGGCGTGGTCGCACGCACGCGTGCGCGTGTATTATAGGCGTAAATTCACATTTTGTGCCTCGGGGAGTGAAAAAGTTTCGGCTGAAATACGCTCATTTTGATGCAAATGTTTTTCCATGCTTGACTGGTCGTGGGCGATACCATCCGCGAGAGGGGAGTAAGGAATATGTGATTACTTTTATTCACTGTTAATGTTACTGCCTGACACAGCAGATGAAATGTCAGCATAAAGAACCGGCAACTGTTTATTATTATTATTATTAAATCTTTATTACATGTAATTATTGCATTATGTGTTGTAACTACAAAATTAATACATGTACTGAAAAACTGATAAACGCAATAGTGTTGAGCAGTTAAAATAATAAAATTTTTGAGTGATACAGTACATTGTATGATATATAGTTCTGAGTGATACATGTTATTTCAAAGCTTTACATATTGTTACAGGACTGTGACATGAATCTACGTGAATGACAATATGAAACAACTATTGTGTACGTCGGTTATCAGCGAGCTATAGCGGCTGTTTAATCTGCTGTCGGCACTCGTGTAAGACAACTATTTTTACTTTATATATGAATCTAAGGTATATATGATGACTATAAAATGCTAATACTACTTGTCACAGATTGTACTTGAAAAAATTATTCACACTTGTGGGAACCATATAATTCGTATATATATATATACGATATATATATATATACGTATATATATATATCGTACCATATATATGTTATTCGTCTTGTATTTACATAAAACGCCATTGCATTATCCACCAGAACTGAATGACTGAGCACAGCATATGCAGACCCCCACTAAACTCAAGTAAACGTAAAATACCAACTATATATAACCATGAATATGCATTAGTGTTCTTGTCAAAATATGCCACCTGAACTACATGTGCTGCTATTCGCTGAACAGTGACCAACTTGAAACTTCCACAGTCATGTAACTTCAATTCTACTGCAATTGCGACAGAGGACAGAAGAAAAAGATAAATAATAATACTAATAAATAGACAGCGCAGTGTGTAAAAATGCAAAACCAACTCCAATTGTGTGTTTACTTCATCTCAGAGTATATTATCACTTATTACAATAGATTACAAATGCACACACACACACACACACNAGAGAGAGAGAGAGAATCTGCTGTCGGAACTCGTGTAAAACAACTATTTTTACTTTATACATGAATCTAATGTATATATGATGACTCTAAAAAGCTCAAACTACTTGTCACAGATTGTCCTTGAAAAAAACAGTGTCCTTGAAATGTCATTGAAAAAATAATTCACACTTTTGTGGGAACCATGCTTCATAACAGCCGTTCATATTGTTATTTGTGTGCGTTTTTTTTATAACGGGAATCTGCGTCTATTTTCTATCGCACAGAAGAAATAATATATCAGTTATGTTATCGGTTAGGCGGATGATTTAGCTTTCATTTTCCTGGTCTCACAGTCAAGAACGCCATACAGACAAGTAATACGGCAATCCATTTTGGGAAAAACATTTATTATGACAAGGGTCCAACAGTTATATAGTGATTTCAAACAATAATATATCTTCCATTTAAAATATATCCGCGTCGTGCTTCTACCACGTGCCAGTGTCGTCGATATTCACAGGAAAACAAAAACTCCCTCGTAATCACACAACTATTACAATCACCAATACTACTACTATCGCTGAGAGGGGTATGTCCCCCAGGGTTCTGCCGGAACGTACCCTGGTACTATCTAATATGCCGGACCGTACATCGCCTACTCCACTAACGAGTCTAGGGAGTCGCCTACGCCTACTCCCCAACCCTAACCCTAACCATATCAGATAGTTACCAGGGTACGTTCCGGCAGTACCCTGGGGGACATAGACCCTATAAGCACTACTAGCTCACCAGGCCATCGATTAATCTAGTTGCTATGGATGTTATTTCATCTGAACGAACTATCATACGCCGTATTAGACATACAATGTTTATTACTGTAAACTACAAACAAATGTCGGGTTACACTAAACCATATGCGGATCTACCATGTGTTACCATGAACATATGTCCATACTCTACTAGTACTCTTTCTAGTATTTATTCTAACTTCGATAGATATATTCGTGATGTCGCTACTGTCACAGCGAGCACACAGTCATTACTGAACCATTAATGGTAACAACCATGGCAGTATTACCTATCCGCATAGATCAGTGGTTCTTAACTTTTTTTGAGTCATGGACCCCTTTTGAGAATCTGGTGAAAGCTACGAAGCCATCCCCACAAAAATGCGCATAAGCACATAAACACAAATCTTTGCTTGCGCTGAAGCCCATCCACGGACCACAAAGGGATCCATGGACAACATGTTGAGAGCCCCTGGCACAGCCTAACAATGCCTACTACATACTGTTAGTCTATGCATAGATATATACAAACACAATACAAAACCAAAACAAATACAAAATGTGTTTGTATATATCTACGGTCTATATCTATCAGTCAGTGCAACAGTAGACATTATCCGAGTCCCGTGTCACCAGTACGGTCACACGTCACCGTGGTCACAGCAGATATTGTAATGAATTTCAACAGTACAAACTAGGCTTAGATACAAATATCCGGATATTTTTGGAGATATTTAGAAGTTTTCGGGATATTTAGAAAAATCTGGATATTTAGAAAATTCCTTAATATTTAGAAGATAAAACACAATTTTCTCAAATATTAAGGATTTGTAAGGATGAGTTTGGCTATTTATGTTAAGAAAAACCACCCAGCGGTGCAAACTGCATGCAGTGCCCCTTCGTACACTCAGGATACCACTGCCACAATGGAATTTGCCACTGCCACTGCCACAATTTCCAGAAACATATTTAGGCCATTTTTCGAGATATTTGTATCTAAGCCTAGTACAAACCATTTGTAGTCACAACAGTCTGAACAGATCATCATAACAACATAAAACATGTTAATTTAACATCTGTCACCGGTACAACAAACATTCGAAGTCGCAGCAAACGCTGTCGAATAATATATTTCATCGGAACAACCATTCGAATTTACATCAAATTGGTGATAAAATATAATCTCGCCAGCACAACCATTTCGAGTCCCAGCAGATAGAAACAACGAGGTTATTTTTTTACTACGATCCCCGTCACATGAACCATTACAAACTGCATGCAGTGCCCCTTCCCACACTCAGGATAATAGAATTGAGCCAGAGCGAGAGCGCCATCTGTCGTGGAGTTTGGAACCATTATTGCAAAGTC